TGTGCCAGAATAAGGTATAAAATATCTCGTAAACTATTGATTTTTCGGTATCATGATTTTAATATTTTTTTATGCAGAATAATTAGAGGAATCATATATACAATAGCTCCCTTTACATCGTGTAATTTTGGTTATATAAATTTTTCTTTACACCTTATAGATTGGAAGATATTTCAGATGGACAAAGTTATTGCCCCACCCTGTATATATATTTATATATATATATATATATAATTGAAAAGAAAAATCAATATTTTCTTTCATGCACTATTAAATAGCAAAAAACAGCGTATCAAAACACACAAATCCATTTTTGTGGTTAGTATCGAAGTAAACAACTGAGAACTGAAAATTACTTTAAAGACTGATGACGTCACATTGACGTCATTTTAGTTCCTATCGTATACTATCCGACCTGCACAGTGTTAACATATGCACTTACAAGGAAACGAGCTGTATTGCAAAAGTGATATAAAAGAATTACATTAGTCGAAAGATCGCGTTTGAAATAAAAATTCTAGATAGTCAAGTCTTGGGATCCTATAGATTCTGTACTCGATTTGGGCTGGAAAACATGTTTAGCCACTTTAACTTTAGGTATCAAAATATCTCGAAAACAATATATTTTTGAAAAGAAAATGTTTCAAATAAAAGTTGTAAGGTTTGAAGAGGAGATCTATCAGATGAGTTACTTATAATTTTGGGTCCAGGGTCCACTTTAGGCACAATAGGCCCAGGATAGGTCCTTTTTTTCGATAAAAACACCTATGTTCTATTGTAGATTCGTATTCTGTGAAAAAAAGTATAGTTCTCTTCAAACTCTACAACTTTTATTTGAAACTTTTTTCAAAAGTATACATTGTTTCGAGGTATTTTGGTATCTAAATGAAATTCGATTTTTTTTTATCTAGGATATTTATATTTCAAACGTGATCTTTCGATTAGTAGTAACGTTAGATTTTTTTATATTACTTTTGCAATATAGCTTTTTTCCTTGTTAAGAAATAATAAACTAAATTTAGCATTTTCTTCAGTTAAATTGTTTAACTCTATTGTTTTAGTTAAGTTAACATATTGAGTAGGAGCAATGGCAACCTATAGAAATGATTATAAATAACTCAGATTGGGTATAACTTGACATTATTTAACAGTACGGATCGTAGTATGAATAATTTACTTTTCCAGAAAATTAATATATATTTATTGTGAAAAAAGTTGGTCAATTTTCTTCCTTACTATTTATGTTTTTTATATTTGACTAAAAAG